TATACTTACAAAACAGACAAAGGTTCCAAAAAATATTAGCAAAAAAGTTTGCTAAAAGCAGTTACATAAGATGAAAGTCCTCAGATTCCTTGCCAACTCATTGCTATGCAATGTGTAAAGATTTGTTTCAATGTACCAATCAAACATCATTTTCCATTCTAAATGAGTCAAAGGTTTCAGAGCATTGTGAATTTAAATGCTGAAAGGAAATAACACAAAAACAAATATATATATATAATCTTTAACGCAGGCAGCCCTGTCAGCATATGGCAATTTTTCTCCCTTGTCTAGAGATATTGAATTTAATAAGAGTATTGAGGCTATTTTATGACTGTAGAAGAAAGAAAGGGGTTTTGCAATTCATGAAGCTAAATAAATCGGTGTTTATTTCATGTTTTATCCTGCTTTGATACAGAATGATTTCTGCGTAGTCTGTAGGAATGAGAGCAAAGAACACCTAATTAGATTAGAAAGTAATGTGTTGAATATTTGAAAGTTCAACACTCACAATTTTTCTTGCTGTTTACTCTGTAAGGCAAAACAAGTATCATATGTTGGGTAAGATATTGAGCTACAGATAAAAAGGAATTACAATATTATTAGATTGTCCATGTGTTTTCTGTCTAGATGATAAGTTGTTTTTAGAGGTATCATATTTTAAACATAGTGAGGTATAAAGAAAAACTGTTTTTTACAAATGACTTTTATAATCCAAACCTTGCAGAATTACTGAAGTCATGAAAGACACGTCAATTAATGAAGCAACAATTTCCCCTGCTCCTTTCATAAATCTTTGCCTATACAAAACAATAAAATATCTCATTTCCAGAAATGTGCTATGAATAAACCAATTAGAAACCTGGAACAGAAAAGACAAAATTGTTAACAAAAGCAAACCACAGTGTTTTAATAGGCTGACCTATGAATTGGAAATACAAGTGAGAGATGCAAGTGGCTTACAGTACTCATTTAAGAAAAATTAAGCTTGTATTTTGTGCTTTATAACTATCAAAGATATTCATACTCTGGAATCATAAGATAATCATATTCAGACATTTCTAATGCAGTTTGTACTTAGACTCTCTAACAGTGGATTTACAGTAGGTAACTTTGCATGAGTTTGAAATTATTTCAGTTTTAAATTGAATAATGAATGTTAGCAGATATGAGTGTTTTTTGATAGCTTGACAATACAACAGACTTCTAATTAAATTTAATGTTAATTCTAAATAATGTATGTGCAGTTACTAGAATACATATGTAAATAAAATGTCATCAATACCATTCCCATATTCAGCAATAAAGGGTGTATTTAGATTCAGATTATCTAAGTATTCATAATTAGATTTTTGTGCTTAGGAAAGGGTGTTTTGTCTTTGCATTTTGTTTTCAGAATCTAAGATGTATAAAGGTCAGCTATCCCCAGTACAAAGTGAGTAGCTCATGATACAGTCATGTCACTTTAACAGTTGATTAACAATATGATGTTCTTTCTTCAGTGGTCTCAGAATCATTTCCTGAATTTAAAGTTTTGCAATAACCACAGTATATTTTGTCTGTCACCAAAATACATAAAGAATAAACTGTGCATAATTTAGAAGCAGGCCTGGAGGTTCATTTAATCCTGTGTAGTTCAGAATTCTGTGAACAAAAGGACTGTCATGTTATCAGCAGGCTTTTGTGGTTACTATGTGGGTTCAAAAAAAATAACCATTCATTACGGGAAATATAGAACAATAGTTTCTGAGGAAAAAAAATCTTTAAGATGCTTTTAATCATTTTTCCCCATTATTTGCCTTTCTATAGGTTTAAAGTGAATGTCATGTCTTCAGACTGTTTTTAATTTATCTGAAATTGATGCCTGAGACGTATGGCATTATCTAAGCTGGGCTATTGTGTTCCAGTGCCGAGTATGAATATTAATCTAGGAATATACACCTTCAGAGGTTGAACAATAAAAGAAAAGCTCTGTATGATGGGGTTTTTTGCCAATAGCCTTACATTTACACCAAACAGCAAAAAACGTGATTTCCAAAAAGCCATAATCAGAATGCTAAAGACAGAAATACATTGTCTCTGTAATGTAATTATGAGTTACAAGCCTTTTTCTTACTTTTGTCCAACAGGGTGAATACTTTACACTTTAAGGTCTGCATGTCTGTTATACCACTCTTTTGCTCTCACCCAAAGGGTAGGAAACATACCTACTGGTATGTAGAGGCAGCAAGGATAGTAGACATTCTGGTTTTGTTGGGAGACAGATCAGTAACATGCAAAATTTCAGCAGCTATACTCTGATAGGACCATCAAAGATAACAGTAATAGCAAAACACATTTATAAATTCAAACAGAAGAGAGAGACAACTGCAGCAACAGAAAGCCTAGAAGCAACAACCTACCCCTAGCAGAGAGCTTTTTGGTATTGATGATCTTAGCAGCATACTCCTGTCCAGACAACACCTTCACACAACGCCTCACCACTGAAAAGGCACCCCTGGAAAAAAAGAAAAACAGATTCAGAAACTGGAGCTCAGTAAGTACAGTATGTCAAGAGAAAATGTTCCCTTTTCATTTATTTGACTTGATATATTTGATATATATTTGATATATCTTGAACACAAAGCTGGATAGTGGAAAGCACTTTCATTACATTCCTGGATACATACTGTAGATTATAAAGATGTGAACCAGTATATTCTTTGTAGTCAAAATTCCCCCTAAAGTGGAATCTGGCATAAGAATACAGGAGTAACTTTCAAGGCCAAGAGATTACTAAAAGGAAGCCTTAGACACCTTAGACACAACTGGAAGTCAAAATACATATACAGTACATCCTGAGCACAATCATTTACTCAAAACCTTCATTATTGCTTTCTTTAATTATAACGTATTAACTAACCAGTATCTTCCTGACAAAAACAAGTCAAGGCTACATTTGAGGGAGGTAAGCCTTGAATGTTAACAATAGAAAACGAAAGTGTTTTGTCCTGTTAAAATATGGTCACTATGACACACAGCAATACAGAAGGAAACAACTTTTAAGAATGCAATCATTTGGACAGTACTCAACAGCCATTCAAGCTGTGCAATTCTGAATAGACACTTTGTGATGTTTTAGGCATTAGATTAACTAAAAGAATACAATGATTTCATATAAATGCAGGGTTAAATCTATCTAGAGCAGAGAAGAAATAAATGTGTGGACTATCATCTAGCATTAGTATAGCATTAATCATCTTCTGTACAAAAAATTCTTCTTAAAATGGTTACTTAATAGTGAACATCATTAATGGAACTTTATATCCATTAACAGAAAATCTGCCAAGTGAAATAGGTTTTAAATATTTAATTACAGTCTGGGATTTACGGTATGGCACTTTTTTGGCTTTTGGCAGGGTCTGTGAATAAATATGCTCAGTCATATTTTTAGTCCAAAGAAATGATTTACACAGAGCCTCGCACCTTTTCCCAAAATTATGCATCTCGTTAGCTGATTTGCCCCACACTTTGAAGCCAGATGCCTTGATCTGTTTTTTGGCAAGCTGGGAAGTATTTATTTGCACACGTTATGGTGCTCACATTCTCGAATCCAGACTTTCATGTGGCAGACCGTGGGTATGTTCCCTTATTCAGTTGGCTATCCTTTACATGCTGGTTAATTGCCCAAATTTTTACACCGGAGAAACTGCTTGCGTTTTAATTTTCATATCATTATTTACTTTTCAGTGGGGTTTGGAATTGAACTGTACTGTAGCCCACTTCATTCCCTCCAAAGGGAGCTCAAAACACTTTCTCAGTGGTATTTCACTTAGCCAGCTCTTCCACATCTATAGTTTCAAATGCTTTAAAGAAACCTTTAAAAGATTTTTTTTTCACAGCGACTTTGCAAAGCACTCCATTATACAGTCTTCTTGTATTGAGCTTCAGAGACTAATACCTCATTACCAAGAACCAGAAAACTTAAGCAGCTTTATTAGCTATGACACCTTTTACAGATCTTGTCCTAAGAGTGGGTTCTTAAATCAAATACAATGCTTTTAACTTTTTTCTGCTCTGCCACATTTTAAACAAGGAAATAGAAATGATACTGCAATAGAATAATGAAGTCATAACTGGAGTCATCATCATTACTATCAAGAGCAATCTATATCGCATATTCAGCCTGAACACAAAACTAAGACCGCAGAATACATATAAGGACAATTTTGTTCAAAATCCATGATGCATACAAAGCAAGCCAGAATTCTACCACAAGGAATAGGCTAAGTGAAAACAGAGCATTGAACATTTCTGTCTAAAAGGATGTGGGTTATGGCATCCTTTTGTTTTAAACACAATGATAGTGGAGACCATGTAAATAAGAGAAATGATAGTTCTTTTAAATGTAATAGAAACTGGAAAGAATAGATTGAGAATTGCAATAAGCTATGTGTGGATATTAAAATAATGATTTATAAAATACATGTAGTTAGAAATCCAAGATCTGTTTAATTAGCCAGAGTGGACACATGAGTTTGTAAGGAAATAAATAGAAATCTACGTGTAGATGCAGATAGATGTATGGTATATTAAATTAAGGAAATTGTATTTTTTGCTATTGTATGTATGAAACTAGTTTTAATGAATCATCAGGTCTTCATATCAATATCAATATTAAGGTAATATTACTGTTTTCTTTATAGAACCAGGCCTTTTTATTTATTTTCTACTCATAGAATATCAAAGCAGTGAACATTTTGGATTTTTCCAGTAAGTTTTGTGATACAAAAAAAAATGCTATATACTGCAACACAATACATTTCCCAGTTAGGAGTGCCTTCTATATTGAGGTAACAATGTTTTCATCTTGTCCAGTACTGAATATTTCCATAAGTTCTGCATGTGGCCTCTCAAAATACATACTCGAGATATTGGAATAGAGTTTGTTGGTGGTCTTTGTAAGTCATAATCCTAGTAAATATTTCTCCCTGCTTTTTCAAACTAAGTGGACCTGGTGTTTTCTCAGTGTAAACCACCCTCTTCTTATCAGTTCTCTCAAGGCAATTTACTGCTGTCAGGCTATTTTTAATGAAACTGAGAATTTCTAATGAAGTTGCCAACAGTCACGGTTGCAGATCCTTGTTTTTTTACACACACCTAAGTGCCTAATCAAATGCAACAAAAATACTGATCAGAGAAATTCATTACATAACTGAGTTCCAGATCAATGATTTGTGACCACATTTGTAACTGGTTAGCATTCCAGAGATTGGCTTTTCCTTTTTGTATTGTTTATTGTCTCATTTTCCACATAACTAGCATGTTATTAATAAGGCAACATTGCTCTACACACTGTAAACTGTGGACTAAGCAGCTGATTCAACACAGTTATATCTTTGTACATTGCAATGCTTTGGCTTCTACCATATTTAAAAAAATGATAAAAAAAGATTTTTAAAATTATAGTAATATGATGTTAGCTGACCGACACTGTGTTGTGTTGAATGATTTATGTTATAAATTAATCAAAATAAAAATAGAGGGACTGATAAAACCAAACAAAACAACATCATTCCACCAATGAAGTAATATTACAAAAAGCAGAAGTGTTGTTATGGCAGCCAAGAATAATGAAATCTCCAGAGTCACTGGATGTGCCCCTGCCCCCTAGCAAATTGAATTATGTAACAGTGTACGAATACCTTTGTCTTGCTGTTTTTGTCAATCCAGAGCTCTGGAGCTGCAGCATTACAGATCTTAAGAGAGTGGATGTCAGACACTAGCTAAGAACAATATAAAAATCAGTGTGACTTTATGTGTTATAACTATTCAGATTAAATTCAATTTCTATCCTGACATTGCAGTGCATTGTACGTACAGTATAAGAGGTATAAATGGATCTAAATAAGGAGGACTTTCCTAAGAAGTTTCCTGGAGCTTTTTCTTTTATGTTTTCCCCACCATAATACAAATAAAATGCATTACAGCCCCTTCAGCTACTCCGGATTTCATACTTGACTGCACCAATTCAGAGGGCTGTTTCTGGAAATCCTGTTTTCCACTTTCATTATATGCATTTAATATATGTATGCTGAGCACTAGCTGCTAGACTGAAGTGTCAATTTATTTATGTATGAAATTTGGAAAGTAAAATATGACAGGCTAATGTTTTCAACTGCATATGCTTTCCCACTGCAGGTATAAGACAGTATAAAGAAAAGAAGCATTGTTCTGTGCCTACTGAGTGAGTATCCTGACATTCCACTACAGTAAGACATCAAATATTTAAATCATGTCACTTTGCTTTGTTCCACACATCTGAACTTCAGTGTTAATCTCAGGGCCAGTTAACCAACAACTGTATGAAATATACTGAGGCAGTAGTCAGCATGCAGCACAAAAGTGTGTAAAAATATTTGAAGTTGTTTATACAGAAACACATAACAATTTTATTTACCTTGCAATCAGCCTCATAAGCCTTGTCATAATAATTCTAGGTCTGGCTGGCAGTTTTAGGTAAACAGAGCTTTGTTTTTGATTTCTGTTGAATTCTTTTCCAATTCTGTACTCACAGTACCACAAGTTACATATGTATTTTGTTCATTTTCTGTTATCAATAATACATCAAACACAAACTGAAGTTTACACGAGGACTTAATAGGCTTTAATCTTTTTGCTTTATTTTTAGAAATATATTCTAAAGTTCCTTGTCCTCTTCTACAGCACATGCATTACGGTGGTTATGTTTATGTATGCAATAGTTCCTGTAAAACTGTTTTCAGAGCTGATTTAATCAGAAGTTTGCATATTTAACCTTCAATGAGAGTAAAAAGCTGTATACCTAAAGAAGGAAATACAAAATGAAAAATGCTTAAAAATGCTTCTATCTCATGCTTCAACACTCAAAGAACTTCCACCTTGAGGCAAATATTCCCAGTATTCTCTAAAAGCCCTGGTTAGAAATAACTTACTTGCCAAGTTCTTCAAAAAGCTGGTATTCCTCAGTGAAACGAGTGCAGGTGATGGTAGCCATAATTCAGACGCTCAGTCTTTTCGTTGGAGGCTGATAGACTCAGATAACGTGGCTCTGTACAGTGTGTCTCTATCACTTTCCTGATCTCCGGAGAAGAGGGGGATGCTCTGTGATTGACAGCCTTGTTCTTGTATTATCCTCCTGCCTTACTCCCTCCTCCAACCCTCGCGAGTTTTCGCAGCAATACACAGTCCGGTCTCCATAGCAACTGCATCCCCCCTCCACACACATGCTTACACATTAACACACACACACACACCCACAACATACAGGTTTCTGCTACATTTCTCCCAAGGCAACAGCCAATAAGCAACAGATTTTGTTATATTTCCTTGGTAACTGCTCTTTTGTGGCCAATTAATAGCAAGCTGTTTCCATGGTGACAAGGATCCATTTCAAATTTGGAGTTTTTGGACTATTATATAACATCTTTGTTAAGATGAGGAATATGCATATTTACTGTAGAAAAATGAAACTATTTTAGGGCTCAATTAGATCATTTTTCTTTTTATACATTTTTTTCTGCAGCTAGGCAAAAGTTCATTTTCTTGCCTGAGGGGAACTTATAACTTAATTTTATTTCTTGCTTTGGAAGCTCAACTGAACACTAAATGGTTTTCCAAGGGTAATTTAACATCCAGATACTGTTAAAACTCATCTCACATACAGTAGTGATGATGAACTTCAAAAGCAATTCATTCATCCAATTAAAATTGTGCAATGTTGCACAGAGCAGAATATTATGCTACCTATGCTGCATTAAGAATTCATATGTTTATAGAAAAAGTGAAATTTGATGTAAATAAACCTTTAACTCTTAAACAGTCAAATCCTGAACAAAATGCAACACAATAGAAATGGTTTCTAAATGTTAATCAGCCGACTTCTAATTTATTTCCATTAGGAATTTAATTGAAATTGAGGTTTGTTGGTCTTTATTGCAGTCAGATTTTCAATAGAGAGCAAATAGGCCAAAGGGCTTCTGTTCTGTTAAACACTAAGTGACTCAAAATAATTAAAGACTAGGCTCTGTTTTCTGTCTTCGTTGTCTTTAGTTTTTTCTTTCCAACATAGCAACTACTCCCGTTAGTTTACAATTTATATCTTTTTATCTCATTGCTTTTTCATGTTTCTTTTTAGTGGGAATTACAGAAAGTGTGGGTTTCCAGTTTAGTCAGGATATGACCCATTAGGATGTCTATGGGTGTACAAAACACCAGGCTGAGAAAATGGTTACCCAAACGCTAACGTCTTTTTGAGGATCATGAAAAAGCATATAACAAAACTATTTCAAAAAAAGTAACTAACTAATGTTGTCGAAACGATTGGAAAATGACCAAAAATACAATGCGTCCCCTACCAAAAAAGAAACTGTGCATGACAACTCTGAGAAATGTATTAAACTTTTTAACTAGTGAATACTTGTGATTCAGATGTATGTATCCACCATACACATGAAATAACCACAAATCAAATATAAGAAAGATTCTGTCTCATTGTGATGCTTCAATTATCCAATGATGAGCAAAAGTTAGCGGTAAGTGGCTGGAACATCCCACAAAAGTGTTGCAACCTGCTTCAGACCTGACACAAAAATTATCAGTTTTTTTTTTACTGATCTTCTGAGGCAGATGTTATAATGCCAGTCATGGCATCAACAATCTTCCAGTATCTCTAAGTGTAATGACACTGGCAGATGGACAGATGGATCAGGGTAACTTGCCTCCAGAAGTGCCTTCATATAGGAACTGCGATAGCGTAACAATCTGTAACTGCAACTGAAGCAGTTGCTTAGCAACCAAATAATAATAATCCTTACATTTATATAGCACTTTACAGGTAATGGGAACTCCCCTCCACCACCACCATTTTGTAGCTCCACCTGGATGATGCAACAGCAGCAGAAGTGCACTCTGTACCCTCACCACACACCAGCTATCAGTGGGGAGAAGAATAGAGCGATGAAGCCAATTCACAGATGAGGATTATTATTAAAGCCATGACTGGTAAAGGCCAGAGGGAAATTTGGCCAGGATACCGGGGTAACACCCCTACTCTTTTCGAGAAACGCCCTGGAATTTTTAATGACCACGATTAGTCATGACCTTGGTTTAATGTCTCATCCAAAGGATGACACCTTTTTTTACAGTAAAGTGTCACCATCGCTATACAGCGGCATTAGGACCCACACAGACTGTAGGGTGATCGCCCCTTACTGGTCCCACTAACACCTCTTCCAGCAGCAACCTTAGCTTTCCCAAGAGATTTCCCATCCAGGAACTGGCCAGGCTCACAACCGCTTAGCTTCAGTGGGTTGCCAGTTGCGAGCTGGAGGGTGATGTAGCTGTTGGGGTCTGAAAACTGTCTCCCATAGTCTACTGAACATGGCATTCATGACTTGTGGCTTGTTTGAGGTACTGTAGTTAGAAACGCCACTTCACCATTCCATCATGCACAGTGTCTTTGGACAGCAAACAGTAGATTAAAGAGAAGAAAGTTAAAAGAATAAGGGTGAGGAGGAGTAGAATAAAAATTGTTTGTGGCTTTGGAAATTTTCTAGAATCTTTATGCAAATAGGTTTGGTGCATAAACACTTGAATATATACCTTAATATATACCAAACTCTTTTGTTATTTTTTTTCAGTGGTGAAAATCTCACTTCAGCTAAAACTGAAATAAAGACTAAAAACTGCACAGATTTAATCCTCAAGAGCAGTGACAAGAACAAAAACAGAAAACCATGTTTTATTTTTATTATTATGCTCTACTTGAACCAGAGAACCACAGCTTTCAGTCTCAGTGATTTAAACTTTATAAATACGCTTACACCCTGTGGGAGGTGGAATTATGAAATGAAAATTATTTAAGAATGTAGCCTTCATGGAAAGGCAACATACTACAAAAAGATACAAAATATAGTGCCAGGCAAAGGAATTCAGACCCTTCTGTTCAACAAACAACGTTTTGTATCTAACAAATTTTAATTGCTGTTCAGATTGTGAGCTGTAAAGCAACAAAATGTGAAACTGTGCAAGGGTCTATAAATACTTTCACATGCAATATTGCATTTTATCTCTTATTAATTCACTTATTAATTCCCTGACTCTAATAATAATTCATAATAAAAGTTAAACAGCTGATTGATTACTTATTTATAGATATAGGGTATACATATATACAGTATATATCAACTAGTGTAAGCTTTTAACAGTATTCAATGTGTATTTTAAAATGTAACTAGTATGTAAAGGGCTGTAATACAATGCTTAATAATGCTGTCATAATAAGAATGTTTCAAAGTGAAAGTTAACATGATAGCATAGAAATGTCTCATATATTTTCAAAAACTGCAGTTCTAAAATTAGGCTGTAGTTATTAAGACAAATTGTCTGGCCATATTTCCACAACAGGGTGAGGATACGGTGTTCATTTTGCATAGCAGGATGCAGCAAATTCAATTTTCTCACAGAAAGTACTGCAGGGAGTTACAATGCCACATGATAGCTGTGTAATTTATTTTAGCAAATCTAATTTCTGTAGCAAACATACTAGAGAAAATGGCAAAACAGATCAGAGAAGACAGATATTTATGGTACATTTTCTGTCCAAAAATAAAACCAATATACGTTTTCTTTCATAGTTTTATAACATAAAATTTCAGTTTTGCCTGTTTTTTTCTACTTTTTAGTTTTTTTTGCCTTGATCATTATACTTCTTCTACAGTGTGTTTTATTCGGCTCTTATCATTACATTTCTGCTATTCATGTAGTCTTTCACACAGTATTGTGGCAGAAATATCCTGCAATCTGCAGTGAAAAGTGTTTTCTTTGTCTAATAATCTAAGGTGTGTGTCTAATGTGGGTTCTCTTTGAAAATAACATCAATTTCAAAATGAAATCAGTATGTAAGACTTTTAATTTTAATTTTCTGCTAAATCTTTAGGTAGTTTATTGCTCATTGAATTCTATTTTTCTCTTTTTGTTTTTGCTTCTTCACAATGGAAAAAGAATAGTGATTCTGTTGGATTAATACTGGAAAAAAACAATGCTGTGCCTGTAACATACATGACATTTACAGTATGCAAATAGGGATTGCAGCATATAGCAAAATAATAAGATACTGCATGCAAATCTCAGACAGGTATTTTTAAAAGGAGAAGAACCATTCAAGCTTCTGAGCAATAAAGACCACAGCAGGCAATCTGTGAAGACTGATTGTTAAAACACAGGTATCAGTATTAGTTGAGGTAATGTTTTCTTATGATGAAGGACACATGTTTAAGCTGCTTGAGAAATTTAAAGACAAAAATATGAAATGTTGAGACAAGTGAGGTTGATGTATTATTTATCTAAACATAATTTACTTTTTAAGTGTTGGAGAAAACTCTCCTCCTGGGATTCCAAACAGTAGTAGAAGTTCTTAACATCAATTGTAAAAAATTTAAAAAACTTTTAACTAAAAGATTAGTCATTATACTACACTGCATATACTGTATGTACAGTAGGGAGAAGATATACACAATTATATCATAAAACTACCTAGATAGCTACCATTGCTGCCCATAATGTATGCACTCTGGAGACTTGGAAAATAGCCTCCGTTTTATGAGATACTGTAGAGTGTTATGATTTGTTATATAAGATGAGCAATGTGATTCAGAAGGTTCCTGGTTTGAATCCAAATCAGCCTGAGTTCCTTATCTTGGAAAATCACAGACCCACAGGAGTAGTTTTGTGAGTTAGGAAGGACAAAGTAGTGGGTTTGGTATGCCTGTGATCACCCAAGTTTAATTAAATGTGTAAGATTCAAACATCTGATAACCATTCTCTCTTTTTCCTTGTCATTGCCTGTAATCTATTTCATTGCAACAACAATCTTCTGCCTTTTAATTTATTTTAAAAGCACAATTGTTAAACACTGAAGTATGTGAAACTTATAGTATGGTGTAGTTTAATTTGATTTTGTTTAACCCAGACTAATCTGTGACTTATTTAAAATAACTTGAACTGCACTCATTGCTGATCAAGACATCTTCCATAGGCTGTTTTTTTTTCTTTGTACAGGAAATTGTTAAAACTTAGCAGCATCACAGATCAGTGGTTGATGCCATGGACTACAGACCAGAGGCTTATGGCTTTAAATTGCAAGGGGGCTGCTAATGGTGTGTCTCTAAGCAAGATACTGCACCCACACTTCTACAGTAAGTGACCTGCTAGATGAATTCGTCTCCAGAGTATCATTGTAAATGAGAATTCGTTCTCCATTTTGTAATTTCCTTACAAAGAATATGAGGACTACTATCAAAGAAAACAGCCTAGAGGGTTATATTTAAAAATCTGCAGTGTTATTGCCAATAGGATTCATGTACATTTTCTGTTCTGAAGGACAGTGCCTTACAAGAATGCATTTAAAAAAATAAAAGTCAACGTTGATACTTCCTCTGATCACGTACAGTACGTCTTGAAAGTAAGTACCATACTTCCTCTTATCCCTGCCCTAGAATTATACCTGTTGTGAATGTAATTGGTGTTCTGGCAAAACAAATGTCTTGGCTCACAGCCCAGCCAAAACTAAACAGAGGGGAGAGATTTTATAGGAAGCTCCTGATGTATCGTTTTGTCTTACACAGATGCCCGCTGACAGAGCGCTGCGCTGATAAAACTTTGAAAAGGACATTAAAAGCACACTGCTGCCACTTAGTGTCGACTTCCAGTGCTACAGCTGGGCAGTTTCTGTGTGAGAGACCAAAGAGACCCAATCTGAGCCAGAAAGTGTGCCTTAATTTCACCATCAGAAAAAAAGTCTGCTCACCCAGTTAAACTTGTCCCTGATCATCAGATTAACTGTCATTCTCATCGTTTTTTGTGACATAGATTTTGATTCTAAAAGAAAGATAGAATTGCAGCATGGTAATTTTTTGTAATGGGCATGTAACTATTAGCAATTTCATGCTTTCAGGGCAGCACAGTGGTGTGGCAGATAACTCCACAGCTCTTGGTCCCTGGGTTTCATTCCAGCCTGCGGTTCCTTCTATGTGGATTTCTGTTTGTTTTTGCCAGGTACTCCAGTTTCTTCCTGCCTCCCAAAGGAAATGCCGACTAGGATAGCAGGCGTTTCTAGAAGCACTGGCATCGGCCAAGGCTCAGTCTCGTGCCCCTGTGCCCTCCGGGCAAACCTTGCCAAGAGTAAGCAGCTCTCTCAGGGTGGGCGGATAAGAGAATGACCGAATTTCTAATCAGTAAATATCAATTGACCTAAAAATGCTTTATGATGACACCCGTAGAAAAGGGATCAAACATTTTTTTTTTTGTTGATGTTACCACATTTTCTATACCTTCTTGTTGCTATGTGCTGGGTAGCACTCTAGTTATACTTAACTCTATCAACTCAATTAAGACTTGTTTATGAATTACAGTAGTATGGGACAAGAATATAAAAAATAGCAAAGGTAAACTGTAAAGTATATTTATACTGTAATTGAGCTTATCTCATTTAGACTTTTTAATGGCCAGATGAATCTTACACATAATTTCCAGTTGAACTGGTTGCGTAATATCCTACCATAATATAAAGGTGAAGTATAACAATCGGCCTGTCTTACATAATAACAGAGCTGGAATCTGGTGAAGTGGTAATGACAGACAATCCACCTATTGATATACTGAAAACAGAAAAATAGAAAAATGGAGCTACACTCTGACTGTAAATGAATAGAAATTAAAGCTACTGAGCACATATTTTTCTATTGTTGTTCTTGTATTTTCACAGTATGTGCAGTAATTAACAACAAATATTCCATCACACTTCCAAGGTCATGTGAAATGTTGGTATTAAATTAATTTCAGTGTTTGCTCCTGAATTGGGCACACAATTGCATTCAAGAGCAAGCAAGGCATTGTAAAATCAGCGCTTTCAAACTAATTATTGCTTCCTCTTCACCTGCGGGGCTGACCGCTAATTGATTCCTTCTCTAATAATCTAGTAATGACAGCAGAGGTAGCAGAAAATAAACATTGGGGGACAGCAGAGAAAACTATTTCCAATTTGTGGTAATCCAAGATTTTTTTTTAAGACTTTAGGGTAGTTGATTATCTGTTAGACATATTCATGAACACTTATAGGGAAAAAAATCCTGAAGGTGTATTTCATTCAGAACCTTGTGTTTAATTGAGGACATGAGGGAGTGCATTGATAGATAAATGTGAATAAAAGACTACATTTGTAGATTATTACATTGTTCTTTACATGAACAATGTAAAGCCAATCCACCTCTTAATGTTAAGATCTTAGTCTGCATTTTCCAAGTGGCAGCTTTTGAGTTTGATTGACAGACAATTCTGTGCTCGCTGGATGACTATACAAATGTTTGTGCTCCCACGAACAGCTCAAGCTGCTGCTTAAAGTCAAATTCCACAGTTTCCATAGCAACACAAAAGAATGAATCATCACTAGGCACATCTGTCTTTTTTTTCCAAATTGTTTTCTACAAGTAGTGTAATCTGAATCTCACAAGTGAATCTTTGTACTCTTTATAAGTGATTAATGCCACTATCCCCCTCCCCAAAACCTCCATGCATAAACAAGCTAGTTCAATAGTTATGTCAACAGTAATTGCTTGTTCTGAAAGACAACTATTTTGTTAGTGTAAATACAACCAAAAACATTTGTAGAATGCCAATCACTGTTTGAAAAAAGTGTATAGTAACACTTATGTATGAGGTTCAGTCAAATCCCATGTTAAGCGCCTCTTGTTCTTCACAGATTAATTTTAAATGTGCCTGAAAGTCCTCATAAGATTCTGCCAGATAGCTGCCTTCATGCTTGAAGCCATGTATAATGATGTCTCTAACAGGGATTTTCAATGTAAATGACAAAATAGTCATGCCCCAGTTACTGTATATATTCTAACAGAAAACAGGACTGATATGCTGTGGTCCAGCTGGAATTTGCTTCAAGTAACAAAAAAAGCAGAGCCAATTGTATTGTGCTACAGTCCTGTATGGAAATTTTCATGCAGTCCAATAAATACAGTGGTTGTGCAATAAAAATACTGAATTCACATGATACTGTGTATTTGAGTTGGGGGGAAAAATACAAAATATTATATTTCATGATCTGCAAAACATTATTCTATTCAAACACCAGATGATTTCATTATTTCAGTGATCTGTAATATTGTAAATATTATGCTTAGCCTTTTCAGTTCAAGCTAGCATATTTGAACAACAAATACACTACCATTGTGTCTCTTGTGAATTCACTGAGGACTTTGTACATCAGTGTTGAGTAGGAAATATTAATAACTACATTTTCAATAAATCACCTCAGGTAGCTTTACTGGGCTTGTTCATAGCAGTTGTCTGGGCAGCACATCTGTATTTTTAAAACTATTGACTACAGAGCTGATATATTTACCACTGTTTCTAATGCAACAACATTTTTATTTTGTATTTAAAAAACTCATGAAAGTGTTGGTGCTATTGGTAAGCAATTGTATTTGGGTTGCATTGAATTGTATGAAATTTTTAATTGTATCTGCCTTTAAAGAGCAGAGTTTGTGTTTGGTCACTTTGCAGCAATTAACGTGACACCAAAGTATTTTAGTTAACCTTTGACACAAAGGTGTGCAAATAAAGCCTCTATGCCTCTAGAATCTGCATACACACATTTTCCCCCAAAACAGAAATAAAGACAATTAAAAAACAACCTGTTTAATTAAAAAGGTTTGCAGTAAAAAAAAAAGAATCTCAAATAAGTAACGCAGCATCAGGAGATTATAAATGTTTATTTTATAGATTCATTATTGAAATGGAGACATCATACTGGGATGGTTTTCCTGTTCAGTCACAAAGCTTCACAACTGAAGCTCAAAACCTTTGTTTGGTAACAGTCTGACATGACTGCTCGTTATAATGTCCCTGAAACAAAATATTTAAATAAACATATGAAACACCTAATATCAACATGAAGCATGTATCATGTTTATTTTAGAGACATCCTTCTTTTTTAGTAGCTACAAATCATATTTAGATATTCACAGTCAGTAAAATATATTGGATTGCATCATAACTAAGGCTCAGATTAAATCAAAACCAGTTTACCTGCCAATTACAATATCTAGAATTAGTACTTGACGGCACCTTTGCCTCTGGCATGGTGACAAACTTGGAATCTGTATTGGATGATAGGTTACATTTTTTATTTGATTTAATCCAGACTTAATAAATGCCCATTTTCATGTCTAAATGTTATTAGAACCACTCCTTGCATTCTATTGTATTTTCACAAGTAAAAAGCAAGTTTTAGATCTGCCTTTCTCCTTGCTATAGCAGTATGAGAATAGTAGAGCAACAGCAGTAAAATGTTTTTACGACAGTTTTGATGGGGTGATGGTTTAAAACAACTTCCTTTAAAGTTTGTTTTCCTTTTGTGGTACAGCAGAAACCCTTCTTGCCATTTTACTTCATTTCAGGTACAACTTTTAATACTTTGAAGTGTAAAAAATATTTTCCAATCAAATGTAATAACTAGTGTGGGTTCTTTTACATACATTTTGTTGTTTTTCTATCTCTGATGTTTCGATACTAAAAGCCAAAAGAAAGACCTCACTGCAATAAATATCCCAGGTGATGTGAAGCATATTAACATAATGCGATTTAAAAATGATTTAAAAGAGCCTTTAGTAAAAACCAGAAAGCACTGAGCAACACTGTCTTGGAGAAAATGAATGACTGATTCATTGTGTAAATAACTTTAATCAAATAGAAATATTTACCTTTGGAAATATATAAAGAAATAAAACATGACAAAACAAAATTGCAAACTGTAAATCTTGCGACTGTTAAGGATGCAAATGGCCGAACAAATGCAAATGTGTAGGGAGGTGGGACTGATGAAACAGCTCTTTTGTAAACACAGCTATAAATTAATTGCCTCCTGCTTTTACTGTAGCCTTTTAACAAGCACTTACCCTTTACAGGGAACACAAAAAGGTGTACTGATATAATCAAAGACAGTTATGCACTCTACTACATAGATTATTCATCCATTTTCAGTAAGCACTTAGTCCAATACAGTGTGCAGCGTGCAGGAGCCTAACTTGACAGATAATGGGCATAAGGCAGTATACACTGCTGAGACACCGGTCCGTCACAAAAAATGCATTAATTATACACAACCAAAGTATTAGAGAATGATATGCTCCAAAGACATGATTCATCCTGCTCCAGGCTGTGGGAACTGCCCAAACCATGTACGTCCCATGACTCCTGAAGGCTGTAAAGTAAAAGCAGACATTTTCAAAATGTCTTTTGTTTATATAAACAGCTCGGCTCCTTTCCTAATCATAATCTCAGAGCCACGTTTTACATTCATATCCACTCTTATTAATCTCCAGGTTTTGAAAATAAACACGACAGTGAATGCTCACACAATGCAGAAACTTTTCAGTTCAAGTTGGTGGTCTTCAAAAGCTAAGAGGAAAGTATCATTCAAAAAAGCTGGGTTAAGCTGAATGAAAAATATTTATTTTACTTTGTTTTTGCCTGTATTCTTTCTGTGTGTATCTTCAACATCCTAAGTAGCACGTATAGCTCTGTCCCTGTCTGGATTCAATCTCGGTTACTGGTGGGCTCAGATCCACACAGTCCTACTTCCTAGACAGTAGTGAACTCTGAGCCAAAAAACTGGGTCTTCTGCCACGGCTAAATTCTACACTGTCTAGGTTTCAAGGTGGTGATGTCACATCTGTAACTTATGCTGAGCCCTGAAACATTTACAGTGCAGTCTAGTGGGAGATCATACAGTCAGATTCTGAAACCCTACTGAGCTGACAATACATCCATGCCTAGACATGGAAATGTTTCCAAAACAGAGGCTTAGGATTATGATATTTGAAATGAGTAATTGAAATGTGTGTTTCTGTGTTATCATGTTATGGATAGAAGTGACTTGAATTTACAATGAATTTAGAACATATCACAGTTAAGCACTCTGGTACTTTTGTTGCCCTCTGACATCCTCTCTCTCAGTCATATTGAGCTCCAGGACTTTGTGATTAACATACTAAGCACTACCTCCACCTATTTACTGTATATTCAATACCACTTGATAAAATGAGTTAAAGCTTATAAAACTACAAAATACAAGGCAGGCATTCTCTTGTAGTATTCCTCATAAGCTTTCTTGCAGCCAAATACTTCTGTAGATGCTGCCAATCAAGGTACACAGTAACACTGCGCCTTGTTTAGCAAGCAGCACTTCCTCTTAGATGTTCCTTTCCATTTCTAGAGAAGCTAAAATGTTCCTGTTCCCCTGAGAGCAACACAGTCTCTGGTGGCACTCCAGGAAATGCTCAGTAAATTCTTGTACAGGTTTCAGCATGTTGGCCTTGATCTTGTTCTGGCAGCAATTAAGGCTAGATCTGTTTCAAAAGGGAGTTTGCTTACTATCTCTTTGACCCAGAAAGTGACGTCACTTCATTCCTGTGCCAATGCTAAGTCAGCCTATTGGCATGGAACAAGAATATTAACATCCCGTTTTCATTAAGAGCCACAGGCTCGGATCACTAGATCTTTCTGTTTGCTGGTTTACAACTGGAACTGCCAGGAACTGGATGCTAGTTGTTTATGTACAAACACAGTTTGGGGCTAAAAAGGAACATATTGATTAACTTGTTTGTATATAAGGTCTTTATATTGAACTCTTAGGCTATTGGACTCTAAGGCTCACAGCCATCTCCACTATACTATTAACAAAGATCCTCTCATCTGATACTGCTTATGATCACTAAGGGTATGTATATATATATAAGGATATATTGATCCCAGAAGAAAGGAAGTTGTCCAAGAGAACACTGGGCTGGACTCCACACCTGCCTGCTCTGCAGGAGTCAGCTTGATGCTTGAGGCAAATTAAATAAAAGTAATGTTTCTGAAACGCTGCATGGCCAGAACTCAAATCCTTGAGGATTTAATTAACTTATGTGTGGACTGTTGCTGCCAAAAGACTTTCAACTGGAGTCCAAACTGAAGAGGAAGGAAAGCTGTACATAAATCAGTTAGCTCCATCAGTCTTAGCCAAATACTAAGATAAGATTATTATCTCTAACTCTTTCACTCCATAGAATCTTATTGCTTCCCTGAAGTTGGATAGCTGTTGAAAGTCTTAAAATTTGATTGTGCTATAGAGGAAGAAAGCAGCAAGGAGTAGGCTCAGTTATAACAATGAAGTAAAGTGTTATTGAGATGGGGTATGACACCAAAAGGGCTTTAGGGTATTACATTCGACACTTTTGTTCTACAAGTTTGAACACAAAACCCTTTAAGGCTGCCCGCCTGCAGGGGAGGTAATCCTTCTCTGAATCTTTCTCTAAATAAAGCCGCCACAAGGATTAAACATTTCTTCTGGAATCATGCCAGTACCTCCATAAGCCTCAAAAAATAGAAAAATCTGCTTGGCCTCTTATACGGCCAAAAACAGAAAAAAAAAACAAAGACATGAGTGGAAAATCCAGTCCACACTTGTAATTTCACTCCTAGCTCCCTGAATTATTGATGTTGTACTCACACAGGCAGCTTTAAGGACTAATCTCACCAGAAGTATAGCAATTTTGGGGTTTCTGAATCTCAGGAGGACAATCTGGCCTTCCCTATGCATTGCAAAACCAGCTTCATCCACCCACAGTAGTGACGAACCCGTCTTGTAGTGCTTTCTCAAACCTTTGATTGTGATTGTCCAGGGGAATCACATAGGGGTCACCAGAGGATTCCAAAACTGTTGGTGCAAAGTAATAAAAAGTTTTTTTTTTTATTATTCACTTCTTGTGACTACTTGAAAAAATCCTTTTCGGGCTATTCATCTGATGATGTACTAAAAGTATCACGGCAATGCAAAGCTGTAAAATTGAAATGCCAGTTTGGTCTAAGATCAGTGTACCACCAGGCATGTGAGTGAAGGTCCAATTCATTCCTGCCCGATTTCAAAGATGGAGAATAATGATAAACTTTTGAAAATGGTTTTCATTTTGCTTTTTAAAAAGCATTTTTTTTTAAATATCAACATCATTACATACAGTACTTCAAATGAGAATTGCTACAATATTGTCAGAGAATGTGTTCTCAATTTATTTCAAGGCTTTGAATTCCACAGGGACGTTAACTGATGTAAGCATGGCTATGATTGTGTAAAAATATGTTCAGATATTGAATTTATAATCCATTCATTAGCAGAAATTTTTTATAGAAACTTTGTAAAAACACAACTGGGAAAGGTTTACTTGTTTGATGAGGAACCGTGGGATCAATTAAACCCTTTTTATCTCGTCACATGGTGTTTGAAAGCAGATCTTGTCAAACCTGGAGGTTGTACTACGTAGGACCTAGTTGCTAGGCTTTTTATTTGAAGGTCTGGTTTGCGGTTGTGGGTGGGGACAGGAGGGAGGGAGCTGGGGGACGAAGTTTTGTTCTGGGTTTTGATTACTATTTTTTTCATAAATGTTTACATAAATAAATACATTTTAAATATATTTTAAAAACAAAAAAAAATGCTATATAAAGAAGTAGTTCTGGGTGGTAATTCCTGTTTCTTTTCACACAGAAGCAGCAATATTGTCCTTACAATAGAGTACATTAGAGTTCTGGATGGAATATCTAAGCACGTCATAAGAATGATGGGCTTTACTTGCAATTTTTCTAAACCAAAGGCATTTGTAATACTTCACTATTTCATTCAGTAGCTGCAGTGCAGCATTATTTAAAGGCCAAGTGACTATTTTCAAAGAATTTAAAGTTAAAATAGTCAGTAACCCCGAGAATATGGTCCATGCCTCCAGTAAGTGATTGTTCTACAGTAATTATCCACAAATTAAGGATGCTGAATATGAATGTGGGAGGTCTTGTCAAGGACATGTTGTACGATCTATACTTGAGATAACAAAATCAAGGTATTTATATGAAGAAAAAACACTAGCCATCAAAGCAAAGTTTCAACCTTCAAGAGGGATCTTCATTAGAGATGTGTTTTTGATATTAAAAACTTTGATTTGGCACCATATAAATAGTAATAGCCACAAACTGGGGAAAACAAAGAAATGCAGCTCACATCTATAAAACATTCTGAAGTGTTCGTTTAAATTAGGAACTAAACATGATTGCCTAAGCAGAACATAATTATTCAACCCTCAAAGTAAAGCAGCTGTGATCTCCTCACATAGATGCTTGGGTAATCTTAACCAGCAGGCTTGAAAAATCTAGTGGGAGTTTGTAGGTGTAAAACTTAAAAAATTGAAATGCAGAAGGCTTTAACCATTTTTTATAGGGGTTACTTTAATTCAAGTTTCTAAAATCCCTTCTTTATCTGAAGACAGAAATGGCATTCAGCCGCACTAGGTCTGACTACAAGGTGCGGATACTCCAGTATCAGAGTTGGAATCTCTATAACGTTATTTTAAAATTATGTATTATTGATGCAAAGCAAAACAAAGTAGAAACTGTAAATTTGCTATTGCAGACAAAGCTCTTTTTAAGTCGTGGGAACATCACAGCTGTTTCACAGAGTTTTGTTGTTATAGTTGATAAATGATTTAAATTATTCATAAAACTTTAGAGCTGACAAAGTACCAATAACAATACAATGGCAACAGTAACTCGATGCCAGATCATGTCAGCTTCTAGATTCTATTGGACATGATCCTTGTGTTTAACTTCCTAAAAAAGGACCTCAGTTTGCAGATCTTGCATTTCTTCTTCTTGGATTTGCTCTTTCTGAGGTAAACCTCATCCCAGTGGTCCTCCTCCTCTTCCCCAGCCCAGGGTCCCCAAACACCACCATTTATTTCAGGGTTGGCCCGAGGGTCTTCAGCTGGATAGCGGACTGGAATTGCTGTGCGGTTGTAATAGGCCAACCTGGCCAGCAGTTCCTTCACCACATCTCTCCGCTGCTCAGAGAGGTCGTAGCGCTCATAGGGGTCACCAGTAATGTTGAAAAGCCACACAGACTTCTGGATGTCCATAGGTCTCTCCAGGTTCCACCAGTTCCCCGGGAAGTTGGTCAGTGTCTGCGGAGGGATCCAGTCACTGTACCCCGGATCTCCTGTCAATAACTTCCAGTCCCCAACCCGGATGGAAGCCTGAACTGCTGTGTTCCAGATCCGGTAGCCTTCCTGCCAAGAGCCAGACTTGGCATGGTTGTAGAGTGGATCGATGTTGTGCAGGATCTCCAGGCGTGGAGATTCCTTGCTTTCACTGATGGTTGGCCACTGATCATACCCATCCAGCCCTTCAGTGGCTGAGATATTGCCCCCAGCCAGCCCAACCAAAGTTGGGTACCAGTCAGTGATGTGGATCAAAGCCTTGCTCACCCGCCTCCTACGCTTCAGAAGAGGGCTGTGCACGAACCCAAGTCCCCGGATTCCCCCTTCCCAGTAAGTGCCCTTGCGACCTCGAAGGGGCCAGTTGCTGCCTCCTGAGAAAGGCTGCCCACCGTTGTCAGTTGAGAAAATAATCACACTGTTTTGGTAGTAGCCATACTTGCGCAGGGCATAGGTCACATTCCTGACTGCCTCATCCACACAGGAGACCATAGCAGCATACTTGCGCCGGGCCACGTTTCCCATCCCCCTGTACTTGTAGATATACTCCTTTGGAGACTGCAGAGGTGTGTGCACTGCCTGGAAGGAGAGGTAGATGAAGATGGGCTGCTGAGGGTCATGGGTGGCCAGAATCTTCCTGACCCTCTGTGTGTAAAGATGAGTGGAGTATTTGCCTCCCTGACCCCAGGCCACATTCTCCCCTTCATGCAGGTCATAGCCACACATACCCGGCCCGTCACAGGAGTCATAGGTGTAATAGTCCACGCTGCCTGTCAGCGAGCCAAAGTAGGTATCAAAGCCTCTTCGAGTGGGCAGGCACTCCTTCTTGTAGAAGCCCAGGTGCCACTTGCCCACCATGTGGGTGGCGTAGCCTGCTTCCTGTAGCTTCTGAGGGAGGGTGACCTGGTCGAACGGCAGGCAGTTGGGCTGGCGAGGCCGGATAATAGAGTGCTGAAGGCCTGTGTGTATCTGATACCTTTAAAAGAGAAGATTTCTATTTATTAGAAAGGCACACAATGAAAGGAAAAGTATGTTCTTCTTATACAATATTAGCAAAATCAATTAGCTCTCAGTTTGTAAAACTGAATCAACTACAAGATAACCAATCACTTAGATTAAGAACGTGTCAAACACACAGTTCCAAACCTATAAATGCAATAATTCAATTTAATCATTCTTACGTTACCTCAGTGTTACTAGAATTCATATTATACATAATGATGTCAACAGTAAGAGTGTTCTAATGCACTCAATGTGCCTTGAGATTCTAGTTAAAAGGCCTTCACAAAACACAATTTGAAGATTATTCACAAACCCACATTGTGAATAAGCCCTTCAGTCTTGTTTTAAAAGCTCATAATGATAATAATTATAGAAAAGGTATTTGTTAAAAGAGGGCAAAATGTGTTAAAACATTAACTTGTTTTGGAAACTTTCCAACATGTTTGGAGACAGTCCGTTTGATACTCGTTTGAAACTGCAGACGCTATGTCTTGCACTAGCAGAATTTGCACGTGCATTGTTTGTAAAATAGAAGATTTCCATACCACAGGGATGATGACATCAATGAGAGCCATCATTTGTCAGAGGTGGAAATTGATGAAGACAATTAGAAGAAAATGAAAAGATGAGTAGTAGCTAATTCATCTTATTTTACAAAGTTTTTGAGACTATTAATGACTGGTTAATCAGCCATGGCTGCTAACGTTGAATTTATACATGTAAAAAGGGGAAAGCAAGCGGTCCTGAGATAGCTGATTTCCTGTACAATTATGATTGCATAATTATTAAGTTAATTATTATTCAAATCTGTAATGCATTGCGACCGCTGCTCTTAACTTCCAACTTAACCTTGAAGAATGTTCATTGTAAAATGACTGAATATTTAGTAGTCTCTCACACCAATAAGCAATCTAAAAAGCTTGAGGAAGAAATTGCTTTGCTGAGAATCTTAAAAATGGCAGCACCATTATGGTGATGCTGATTGATGTGCAGTGTCTACTGAAAATTTCTACAGTCTCTCCAAAGCGTCTGGTTTATGTTAGAAATATAACTTCGCCAGCATATATACTAAAATTGGAAAGATACACAGAAGATTAGTATGGCCTTTTAGCAAGGATGACATGGAACTTTGTGAAGGTTCTTGGTCTGGAACATATATTCATCTTCTGAGAGTAACATTTACACTATAAAATCTGACTGGAATCAATCCCTTTGTCCTTCTCATTCCTGAAAGATTTGTGTTTTGTGTAATCTGAGCTAAAATCATTTAAACATACTGTTATGACAGCTTTCAAAGACTTTCTTTGAAGACAGAAAGTAACTTTCTGGTCTATCACCTGTTAGCTAGGTTTTACCTTTAGTATCAGAGACAAAGAGAGGTATGTAATCGAATTTGAATGCCAGCGATTTTTATTGAATTTACTTTTATAGATTACTGATAATCATTTGTAGGTTCTTCACATCAAAAGCAGAATGCTCTAACATTTGCACTATTAAAGGAACCCCCCTTAAACTTCCTGCCCTGTATATAATAAGAAACTAAAGAGTTACACAACATATAATCGGTTTTAATATAAAACTGCAAGTTTTCAGTTATTTAAGTTTGTGTTAACTGTTTTTCCTATCCTATATATTAATGTGCTTCTCTTGAGCAGATTGGTCTTGTCATGCCTCTTCAGAAGCTGCTTTTAATTAAACATTGGGTTAGTCAGGCGAACAACAGTCTGAGGAGAAACAGTACTGAGAATCAAGTGGAACACACAGTAAGACACGCAAAACTAAATAAATGCAACAATGGGAAAAGGTGGGTGATATAAACTTGTCTGTTAATTATGTTCCCAATTCCCTCTCCAAGGTCTGTCCACTGACAGTCACTTAAAGTTACAAATGATTGATTCATTGATTAATTAAATAAACCCAGCAGGAGTCTTTGAAAAACAACTCCACATCCATTCAACTGAGATAAAGGAAAAGGATTAAAACAAACTGCTCTGTTTTAAAGTGAACACTAGAATAGTCAGTTCATTTTAGTTGCTGCAACAAAACAATTCCTGGCACAATGGCTGTTGATATGTTGCCAATTTATATGATTAAATTGAAGTGCCTTTTGATGGAAAGTACTGCCAACAGCTATTTCTCAAGCTATTAAGGAAGATCCACTTTTTTTCTTTTTCACAATATTTAAAGTATGTGTGGTTTAAACTCAGTCCTTGTTTTAAAATATGGTTCATTTACAAAGTTGTATCAATGCAATACTTTCCTGCGTAGTTTGTCAAGGATAGATACTATTCAGTGGACTTAATTCTAACCACACCTAAAAGACAAAAATTTAAATCTAATTTAAATGCCCTGACTGTTGCCAGTTTAGAAATTTTATGTCTGGCTACCCAGGTTCATATCCAGTTTCGGTACGTGAAATGTTTTTGAAAGGATAGTGGTAAGTAGAGATTTTGTAAGTAGAGTAGAGAAGTGTAAAAACAAGATTTTTATATATATAGATTTCTACCATACCAAAAAATTATGGGTTTATATTTTAATGTCTGTGGGAATTATGACCGTCCCAAATTACTCTGACTTCAAAATTGAAAATGTTAAAGATTAGAACCAACACCATCATCTCCACTGGTTGAATCTCAAGAGTGTAGGGCACAAACTTCTCAGGTCTCATCGATATTGCTTGGAGAAAGTCATTAGCATATTAGTCTGAATAAAAACAAAAAAAACCTTCGATAGCCTTAACAAATGTTAACATAGCAAATAGATAAACTAATATGATCAACATGCACATTTTCTCACTTACTTCTTCTGTAATAATACTTTTTAGGTCTTTAACGGCATGGCAGAAATAATAATTTAAGATGTTCACTGTCACTTGGATTAGATCCATGCTATTTAACAGGCAATCTCAGAAATGTATTCGTCTTTTAGGGACTTCTGTTCTTAATGCTAAAATCTGCATGTTGGTTTCAATCCTCTCCTCTTCAATGCCTCATTCGTGCTTTTTTATACTTCATGTTGTTTCACTCTTGTAACAAGCGACTCAAGTGTTTTCCAATTTCCCAATTTGTTCACTTGCACTACAATCTACCCTCCTTTAATTGGTATGTCTATTTTTGGGGGCTTCTAAGTGCAATGAAATGGGATTTTACATTCCTACCATCTCATCCCATACTCTGTTCCCACGCACTTCATTCATTCGCACTTCGTGCCACATACACGCATCTGTCATGAGTTTTCTATTACTCTTATGGCCATTCATTTTTTTCTTTGCATAAACACAGTGTGTGTAGCTCCTCCTCTTCCGGTCATGGTATAGACAACCTGCTTGTACACCCATCTGCATTTTACTGAGCAGCACTTCTGAAGATTTTCTGAAGGAAATGGTCTTGGGTGGGTGGGGGGAGGGGTGTTGGGAGTCATTAAACCTTCCTTAATTTAGTTTAGAGATTTCATGAGGAGGCACACAAACATGCAGTACCTAATTTCAAGGAAACTCAAGTTTGCATGTCAAAGATTTGAGAAGAATGTTAATGCTCATTGGGTCACCATCATGGTGATGTCCTGTAAGTGGGATGAGATTTCACGAAGACAGAAGATTATGTGACTATTTAGTTTGGGGTTTTTTGACTAAATGTTTAAAGAATTCTGCAAACAACTATAACAAATAAAGTTAGAATTTTCATGACGGAAATTACTGAATTGCATTGATAGTACTGTAATAGCTTTGATAGTGTTTAAATAATACCTCAGCTGTTATAATGTAGTGAATAACTGAATGAATAACTGCTAACAAACTAACTTCAATAGTTTATGTCTTACTTTGCCAAAGTAAGCTCTGATTATGATGCGTCTGTGGTGTTGCCTTGATCTTTTTCACACTGTTAACACCAAAGTAATGTCTGGAAGTATTGCTCTAGAGATAAATGGTGATACTCCTGACATTTTCAGGTAAACTGTGAAAGAGCTTCTCTTCATACGTCAGTCACTTTTATATCTGGTGCCAAGAGGATTATCACTTACCACACATTTTGAAAAGCAGTCAAATTCCATTCAAAATAACAATCTCACAGTACCATGCTTATCTCTGGGCTTTTTCAAATTTAAAAGACAGAATCTTCTGCTAACTACAGCCAAAATTAAATTTTGCTGTTCCTGAATCTCTTGTCCTTGCCAAGAAATTAGAAGCTATGAAACAATGTTGTTTTTCAGCTAAATGTACCATACAATTCATCTTTCTAGTGATGAGGCTGTTTTTCTTCAGTGAAACTGCTGCCAGTGAATGTATTTTAAATGTGTGTCCAGGCATGCTTTTCTTTTGCAGCGAGAGAAAGCAATATATTGTTGTTGTACATATCAGGGATCTTTTTGGAATTTTAGTTTCCACCTGAGGATTTTCCATTCTTAATGACATACAGTGCAGTCCGATGTTATTTTGCCCTAATGCAATTAATTCACGGTTTGACAAAATGAATTAACTTCACAGTCTGGGGAGAACACAAGCCTGAAATAGACAGGAATTTCCCTTTAAGCAGCAGCTGGAAAAATGAAGCTTAAAAATATCTACCTGATGCAGACATTTTATGCAAGAATAAAACAATTGCCCAGAAACCATGAGATATGTCAAAATCCTTTCCCTGTAAATCTTTGAAAAATGGGTAAAATGTTTTATGTGATGATGATACTAGAATGCCCTGTTATAGGAAAGGCTATAAAAAGAAACACTGAAAAACAAATGGTTTGCTTGGAAATAAAAAAATAGCAAAAAGTATCTCTGTTATACATTACATATGCCATAGCATGATACAAAAAACAAAGAAACGAAAACAAAGTAAAAAAAATGTCAAATAAAAATAAACATAAATGAATAACATATTCCAAATAAATTATATAATTTGATATTTGTCTTGGACTATTTTGGTGAGTAATAACTTCTGATTCCATTGTCCTTGGCTTTATAATGTAAGACATATGTAAACAGTGATGTAGAAGCATTGTTAAAAATCCCACTTAAGTCTATTAAGTGGAATTTGGTACAGCCTTTTGAATGTCATTATGGACTGCTTTAAAGCTCTTTCAATTCTAAGTCAAAAGGTATTCACTAGGTTAATATGCACCACTGATAAGTTGCAGCGTATTTTCTGAGAAAACACTCCTGCCAAGAGGCGCTTCCAACATCATCTTGGTTTATGACAAGAGATGAAACACATGCCAGGATGCATAGTTTGGGAGAACTGTTTGCATACATAGTTTATTCATATGAGGAGATCCACCTGATAATTATATTTACAAATAAAGTTCAGTGTTTAGTGTTCAGGCAATTACTAGATCATGCGAGACAGGCACGGAGATATTTGTAAAGTATCTGAAACCTAGATAATCATGGCTTCAGGGCTTTTTTAACTTGGCAAAGAGTAATAACAAGTAATGTGAGAAACTGCTGATTCAAACAATGACATTTTTAACCTTTTATGGACAGAAAATGGAAAAGCCAAGCCTGTTTTTCCTTTACAGAAATGTCATGTGTCTAGCCATTATTTTCCAATGCATATTAAGCCTATTTTAGCATCACCATTACATTGTACTTCATAATTTGGAAGGGGTGCACCAAATTCAAATATTTTGACCCTGGCGATACAATATTCTTTCTTTACCGTACTCACTTTTTTTCCCCCCTGAATCATGTCCATGAAAAATACTAGTGAAGGTAATGACTGTTATCGTTTCAACTGTTATTTTGCAACGTTATATTTGAAACTGTGTGTACCGGTACTGCATTCCTACTTTATAACAGGCTATATAAAAAGACACTTGGATATACTTACACTGAAATGTAAGCATGCACAATCACATCTAGTTTTCTCGGTTCTCTGCACATTCACAGTTGTTAAATCTTTGTGTACCTGTTCGTGAGTAAATATAAAAGGACCTGGAAAGGTTAACCCTTACCTGCCCGTGATCAGCTGACTTCGCGAAGGAGTACAAATGGGTTGAATGTAGTAGTTCTCCAGTTTGACACCTTCGGAAGCCAGTTTATCCAGAGTCGGAGTTTGAATATCCGACCCGTGGTAACCAACGTCATGAAACCCCTGGTCATCGGTCAGTATAAAAATAATATGGGGTTGTTTTCCTGTTGTTGTTAAGGTCGAGCTTTTGTCGTAGTCTGGTGCCGGCTCGTTCTCTACTATGCTGGGTTTCATCCAGTCCCAGGACAAATAGCCAAAACTCAACAGACTCACCAGAGAAAATCCGGTGAGGGCATGCACTGCCATGGCTCTTTAATTTTTGAAAATAAACGTTAAAGACAATTCATTGTAAAAACGTTATAATTCCCTCGTTAATTTGTGTAAATCAAGAATTAAAGATTAATAAATTAAAAAATATAAATAAAACATACATAAATTATCTATAATATTGAATACGTGGATACTTGTGAAATTAGGCATTGATTCAAAGGCCTTTTTAACTTAAAAACAGAAGTAACCATTTTAGTAGATAAATGGGAACGGCTATTATAGTTGTTTCCAACAAAAAGGTATCAGTGCATTCATATAATGTTATGTAATTCAATATAATAATAATAATAATATAGAAGACGATTTGAAAAAAAAAGTCACTGATTCAATTCACCCATGATGATGCGTCCAGAAAAACGCTGTCATTTACAACAGATTCTGATGCAGAAAGCTGATCTGGCTACCTCTAAGGCGTCCATTGCCGTCTGGACTAACTTTTATAACTTTTTAAAAGCTGCTCAAAAGTTTCTTCCCTCTGCGATTCTGTTAACCCCGCCCGCTTGTCTTCGGAATAACCAATGGAAATACTGTGTTGAACGCCCTCGGGATTTAAGAGCAAATGAAGCTCAAGAGCAGGAAAGCGTGAGTCTTCAGAATTCTTGAGGACTAAGCGGCAGCTGTTGCACATGCAGAGCGCGCAGATGCATTCATTACAGAACATTCCACAAACACAGAGGACCTGCACAACGCCTACAGGTTATATAAACTGAGCACTGTGCACAGAACTGTTCTTTATCATTGTAATTGTTATTTACGAAGACACTGTTGAAAATAGATTGTAAAATAGATATCATATATGGACACTATTATCTATCTTCATACACTATCTGTAAAGTCAGAAAAAAATGCAAATATTTAAAGGATTCCTTCAATTGAAAAATGGATCAAATAATTATTGCGGCTGCAGAATACTGTTTGAAAGATGCGTAGAATCTAATTCCAAGGGGTTACATCTGTTGTTGTCAACCATACTTTAGTTACCTTATCTCCTTTTTTAATCTGTTTTGGAAACAACTGGGTCGGCTTCTTCCAAAGTGATTATCTCTTGCCAACAGAAAGAGTCGAGCAGTCTGGCAAGAACAGACGCAGTAATTTCCTGATGGCTTGTGTTTTTGGTGTGCGTGTGCTCTGCATTTGCATCGACTGGCAGGAACGCGTAGTTCATGAAGGTCAACACAACCACATGAGACGTTTTGTGCGTGAAAGACTAACTTTCCATTTAAGGTTATTTTACTTGTAACAGGGAACAGAATATCTGTGTTTAAGGTATAGTAATTATGTATTAAATTCAGCAGCTTCAGTTATAACTCGAGAGACCTCCTGTGTACATATAACAACTGTCTTGGCACCACTGCACTGGTTACATGAGAATTTCAATCTTGATTTTTAATGTCTTTTGGTGTTTATAATGCAGCCATGATGGTACAGCATATGTATGGAAATTATGGAGATAGAGTTATTTCTTGAATTTACTTGAACTCAGATTTTTCTAATCTCTTGAATTTATGTGTGACAAAAGCATTTTCCAGCGCAACCCCATGTAGAACAGAGAAAACATTCTCTATACAGCTCATCCATAATCTCAGACGATCTTAAATTTGCCCTGCTAAAAACCCTGTGCCCTAAGGGTCATACTCACAACTGTATCTACATCGACACTACAGCTAAATGCTCTCCAGATCTGCTAAGTACAAGGAGCCATTTATTGTTGTTTATTTGTACAGGAACAGACTAAGCACTAAAGACCAGACCGCAAACACAGGCATTCCTATTAAAAGCTTACATTTTCACAAGCACTTCAGATGACACTGAAACAAAATGTCAAAGTGCATCCTGTAAATCACCAGAATGGCATTTTTATCACTAGTTTGTTACACAGAACATTACATTGAAGTGAATTTACACATTTTATTGGATAGCACTTACAACCCAGGTGTCTTTAACAACTTTAGAGATATGTGATATCTGCACAGAATAGGATTTAAATTAGAATGCATTCATCTGCTGCTGAACAAAGCTGGTCTCTGTTCTGTAATTTATGCAGCAATTTTTCAAGCTTTCAGTGGAAGTACAATAATTTTCTAGGTATCTCTTTGTTTCTTGTTAAAAGTGCAAAGTTCAAGGTAACAACACATTTTAACTGAAGTATTCCAAGTTATAATCTTAACAAATTTCATGAAAGGGTACTGGAACATTCTAGGGGCGGAGCGGTAGTTCTGTGGCTAAGGATCTGCGCCTGTGACCGGAAGGTTGCCGGTTCAAATCCCGTGGCCGGCAGAGGAATCCTACTCCGTTGGGCCCCTGAGGAAGGCCCTTAACCCCAACTGCTCCAGGGGTGCTGTACAATGGCTGACCCTGTGCTCTGACCCCAAGCTTCTCTCCCTGTCTCTGTGTCTGTGTCTCCCTGGAGAAAAAGCTGGGGTATGCGAAAAGACGCATTCCTAATGCAAAAAAATGTATAGGGCTAATAAAGAAAAACATTATAACATTCAATCTCAGAACAGATTATATTTAATTTAAAGAGAGAGATGTTTACTCATAGCTGTATCCAAATCAACATTTAAAAATGTCAACATACCTAGAGTACATACCTAAGTTGACAATTAACTAAAATGTTTTTTTATTATTTTCTTAGAGAGAGACAATACCCCAAAAGTAAAGATTTAAAGACACAGAAAGAGAAAAGTTGCTGAAATATTTTCATTCATGTGAAAGGTGTGTTTTGGGAACTGTAAGTCATCCTTGTTCATTCATCTTATTTTTACAGAGTAAATACTTGACACCTAGGGTTTAAACCAAAGAGCAGAAAGGAAAACAAAAGCCACTTAAACTGACTGTAAATTCAAAAGGAGTTAAAATTTAAGGAAAATTTAAAGGTTAAAAGGTAAGGAAATTAACAATTGTAATATAAAGAATCAAGCTGGTTAAAAAAATCAGATTCTCTTCAGAATGAGAGTGAGACGTGTCCTTAGCAGCTGGTGAACCAGCAACACATGATTGCGAATGCACACAAGAAACCAGAATAATATTCAGCAGTTTAGTAGTATATATTAGTAATTTCCTTAAGGTTTATGAATAAAAACAACAATTTGTCCTCATTCATGATTAAATCAATTAGTACAACACTTTCATTCTATACTAAGTGACAGTAATTCATATTAAATTATGTTATTTTACAGTATCCTACATGTTGCTTGTTTGAGCATCTCGGGCTCATTACTTGTGTATTGAACTCTTTCACTTTCCTGTAAGGTCTATAAAGTAACACTGAATAATTCTAAAGGCCTTCATGGGCTCCCTTAAAATAAGACAAGGCTTCCGCAGACACCATCACCCAAACAACCTCCTGATAAACTCATAATTTCTCAGCTAAAAGTAACATATCCATCATGATTGATGTAAGTATTTTAAACAATAGTTATCCTTAAAGAGATTTTTTTGAAAGCTCCTAGTGTCATGAAAACATCCTGATTTATAAGGAATAAGGTACAGAGAAAGCAGAAAATTGATGTTGTTTAAATATGCCAGATTTGGTGGCATATCTGGACAAGGTGCTCGCTGAAGACCTGGCAGCTGGTTTCATGATTTTGAAACATCTTTTATCTCTCTGTTATGTGGAGGAAGAATGTATATTTATGTCTGACTAGTATAAATAATTGAAAGTGAATGGAATTAAACTGGAATTTCAATCTTTCTTAAAGATTAGACTGCTGTAAATCTTTTTAAAGTGCTTTAAAATGTCATGAACTACTCTATGTAGTGCTTATGTTCTATGGCCACTCGTGTCGTAAATCTGTCAGAATTTACTAGCTTAACTCTGTTGAGAAAACAAAGCTCTGGCAGCCTTTTCCTTTTCAGTGTGTTTATGCCTCTTTAGCAGTCTGCAAAGTTCATTGGTAGCTGTAAATTATGACATTATGTATGAAAAAACTACTGTGGAAACTCAGTTTACTATTAATTAAAAATTCCTTAGATACTGTAACCTGAAACTGTAAAGCATTAACTTTTAAAAGCAATTGTTCCCAATGCTAGAACCAGTGATAATTATCTTAAGAGGTTGCATCTCTTCATGTATCGTTGATCGTTCTACTCTTAAATTTAGACTCATATTTTGACCATAACAATAATCAAAAGAGAAAAGGAAACTTAAGTAGTTTTCAAATGTGTCTTTCCAGCACAAACAAAAAGGTTGAAAAGTAGCTGAAAGTCCAAATAATTATTTACATTACAATATCATTATACCCCAGACACAGGTCTCATATGAGATATGGTGCTTTTACTTCATGTCTGACACTAGCTGTTCAATTTAGTCCATTCCAGTTTTTCTTGCACCTTTTATTGAAATATTCAATATTACAGTATAATAATAATAATTTGCTCAATATAATAACAATAAAAGGTCCAAAAACTGGAATGGCCTAAGTTGAAAAGGCTTTTCTGTAGATTTTGTTTTATGAAGTTGAAAGTTAGAGTGCCTTTTCCAGACTTTCAAGATTAACAACATTGATTCAAAGATGTTACCTCCCCACTCTCTACTCAGGATGGGACATTTATTGGCCAAGATGGCAGGCTTTTGACCATAAAAATAGCATTTAAAATGTACAGCTAGATACTTAAAATACATTTCTCAATTTGTAAAATCTAATTATATCACTTGCAGATCTTTGCAAAAGTTTGATTTTACATTTTATGTGTTTTTTCCGGAATTTAGTGACGCAAAGCCAAAGGTGTTGGTTAATTACACTTGAGTATCATTTTTCTGCAATGAACATAAACCTTCATTAGCCCACCTGGTTATTGTAAAAGGGTTTTTGCAAAGTACTCTAATAATCATTAAATGGGACACTGAAGTTCCATCACGGCTACTTTTCAATAATTATAGAAACAGAGCAAAAGAGGCAGCTACACTTCTCATTAAAAATCTGTCTTTTATACCTCCCAAAGGACCCTAATTTTGTCATCTTTTTAAATCTTTGTCATGTAGTGAAAAGGGTTTTTAGCAGATAATTGTATACCTTCTTTTCTTGAAAGGGACCAGGGATATAGTTGTTTATGACAGTATAGGAGCTTTGCCAGTGATAAATGATCATGAATTTTCTTTTAAATTTCCTTTTCCCCTCAACATAAAAGCAAAACTCAGGCTTATTTGCCATATAAATTATAAATGCACCTTATGTTGCCAGAATTGAGCAGATTTGACAGACTGTTACAAAATGAAAACAATTTATATCTAAAGCAAGAATGAAGATGCATGCTTTTCAAATGGGTATATTTTTATTTGGCATATTTCATAAGATAGCATAGTTTTGTTCACTAGGATCCATCCATCCATTTCCTAACCACTTTATCCAGAACAGGATTATGGGGGAACTCACAAGCACCCCGCACAAGGTGGGAGACACCCTGGATGGAAACCGA